GATAATTAATAATTAGCTATGTATGGAAGTGAGAGCTGGACCATAAAGAAGGCTGCCCGCCAAATAATTGATGTTTTTGAATTGTGGTGCTGGAGGAGACTCTTGAGAGTCCCCTGGACTGCAAGGAAAACAAACCTATCCATTCTGAAGGAAATCAACCCTGAGTGCTCACTGGAAGGACAGGTCCTGAAGCTGAGGCTCCAGTACTTTGGCCATCTCATGAGAAGAAAAGACTCCCTGGAAAAGACCCTGATTTTGGGAAAGTGTGAAGGCAAAAGGAGACGGAGACGACAGAGGATGAGATGGTTGGACAGTGTCACTGAAGCTACCAACATGAGTTTGACCCAACTCTGGGAGGCAGTGGAAGACAGGAGGGCCTGGCGTGCTCTGGTCCATGGGGTCACAAAGAGTCGGAAATGACTTAACAACTAAACAACAACAACAACAACAACAACAACAACAACAACAACAACAACAACAACAACAACAACAACAACAACATTAATAATTTTGTCAAGTTGATTCCACTTTACAGCAATCCTCCCAGGGCTTTATAAGGATAAGGTAATCCTAAGTGGTTTGCTAGTCCCTCCCTCTGGTGATGGTCTAGGACAATGTGGCTTGTCCATGGGAGGGCATGCAACCATATAACCCTATCAGTTGTATATGCTGCAAGTAACTGCAGCTGGCCCCTTTCCAAGGAGGCTCAGTCTATATTTGAACTCCTGACCTGGGACTCAGCAGCTTGGCACACCAACTGTTTGAACTACGTTGACTTGCCTAGCATATGATAAGCATCAGTTGTCCAAAAGAAATGCCTGATCAGTGGTTTTTTTAACCTCTGAAATGAGAAAACAATAAGTTCTGTTTTTTAAGAAGTAAAATCAAGAATTTCCTCAAGTTTTTTTTGGTTTGTTTTCCATGGATCATATGCCTATGGTCTTTTGTATTATTATTCCAAGATTTTTTTTTAAACTGAAATCTAAGCAATGAGAATGTAACCCATGGTAAAGTAAACCAAATATATTTGAAAGTGCTACAAGACCATAACGTTCTACTGGAGCTAATATAACGGGAGTCTGCTATCCTTCCGAGGTCGGTAAAATGAGTACCCAGCTCGCTGGGGGGGTGAGGGCAATGTATAGCCTGCATAATTAACTTGTAAACCACCGAGAGAGTGCTTGAAGCGCTATGGGGTGATATATAAGCAGCACGTTTTGCTTTTTGCTTTGCTTTCTCTGAAAATAAGACAAGGTCTTATATTAATTCTTGCTCCAAGAAATGCATTAGGGCTTATTTTTAGGCAATGTTTTATTTTACAGTCATGCCATCTTCTTCTGGTTGCTGCACAATGCTGCACAACGGTGTAGGTTTCAGTTAACTGGGGTTTATTTTTGGGGTAGGGCTTATATTACGACATCCTGAAACATCATACTAGGGCTTATTTTCAGGTTAGGTCTCATTTTCGGAGAAACAGGGTAACTATGCCTTTAAATATTATAAATAAAACAACATTGAGCTCAAAATACACCATGCTGAAAATCTAAGCATATTCCAAAGAAGGTGATAAATCCACTGAGACATAGATGAGCTTTTAGGTTAACCCAAATGTAAACTAATAGTTAAATATTGTAAACATCAAGATAAACCAGACTATGGTAGACTGTTAATTTCTATGCTAATCCAGTTTTTGTTTTCAACAGAAGGTGATAGAATTTGTTTAGAACCATGGCCTTTGTAACAATCTAGAAGGAAAAAGAGAGAGAGAAACATCTGAAATGCAGATTTATTGCAGGGTGCTAAGAATGAGTGAAGTACTAAATACAAGGGCAATGAAGAAGTGTGATGGCAAATGAATAAAGACCTAAAGTCCATAACAAATCAAAACCAGAAAGTTGGAATCCAGTTAAAGAGAAACCAAATGTACAGATCATTTCTTGATCATTCAAGATTAAATAAATGAGGACAGGTGTGCAGCAAGGAAAAGTGCTTCCTGGCTTAATACCTCACAAAGTACTGTAGTTTGGATGCAACATAGCTTCATTCTTTACAGACACCATCTTTGGAATCATAAAAGCCATGAAAACAGGCAAGCTCCAAGAGGAACAAGAAGAGTTTAGTTCATTATATGGGATATAGCAATGAGATTATTGCTTGGGAATCAGGATAGTTTCTGTCAATAAAAGACACTCCTTAGGGAAAAAAATTATTGCTAAATTACTACTGTTGTTATTGCTTTCCGTTTCTGTGCATATGTATGAACTTTCTTACCCACTCATCTCCTGGCTCAATATCCTCACCTGAACCAAGCTCCTGCTGGGACAGCAAGTGGTGCATAACAGTCATTTCTCAATCTGTGCGGTTCTATATTAAGAAACATGTGTGTCTCAACACAACGCTCTGCCTTGAATTTCAATGTGACAGCTAAAGTCACATACTGGCAGACAAACTCTGCAGAGCTCTGCCTATCCAAAGGAAGCATTTTCCTGCCATCGTGGTGAACTGAACAAGGCAAAATTAAAACACAAAGACGATCGTGCTCCTTATTTCACCATCAACTATTCTCTCCCTCTTTTTCTTTTTACTGAATGACAAGCCCAATGCCTTCTTACTACCAGATGTCAAGTCAGATTTCAGACCTCAAATATTGGTTGCTTTCTAGCCATACTGAATATGTGATTTGAACAATTTTAATATAAGTCAATCATACGTCCTACAAATAGGGAAGTGGCTGGACAAGGTTTTGATTCTGGATTAGGCATGGAGACAGCAGAGAGGTAGGGTTATTAAGAGGGCTGGAAAGGAGTGTTAAAGGACCATATTTTTGAAGGAAGCAAAATTTTCTTTCAGCATATTTAGGAGGGAAATGTTGTTTGTTGCGGGGTTTTTGGGCTTTTTGGCCATGTTCTGAAGGTTGTTCCTCCTAACATTTCATCAGTCTCTGTGGCCGGCATCTTCAGAGGACAGCACTAGAGACAGAATGGGTCTGTTGTCCTCTGAAGATGCCCATGGCCACAGAGACTGGCGATACATTAGGAAGAACAACCTTCAGAACAAAAAGCCAAAGAGCCCGAAAAACCCACAACAACCATAAGATCCTGGCCGTGAAAGCCTTCACAAATACAGGAAAATGGTTTCTCCAAATCTTTCTGAAGGAATAGTATTTCATCTCACCATGCTGTAAATTGAATTCTGGCCAATATACTTCAAATAAGATATCTGTTCGCCTATTATTTCAAAACAGCACAACAGTTTTTAAAATTGTTACTATAAGGGGCCTCAGCTTTTGTTCCAGATTAGTCATGAGGATAGTTCTAGCCTAATTCCATGAGGTTTATTCAAAATTCAGTCCCACTGAGTTCTTCATACTTACTCTCTTGCAAATACACATGGAGCTGGAGCTTCCTTTACTACAACAAACCCTTCTCCATATTTTCATATTGACACAGTTGCTCCAAAAATGATAGTGTAGTGATCTTTCCCTTCCCTCCAACTTCCTTGTTTGGAGATAAAGATGAAGAAAGGTATTTCCAAACTTGCTTTGTCTTCAGAATTCTTGGTGACAGCATTTCAAATGTATCATTCCTACATGAATTACAATAAGTGAAAATACTGGGCCAAATCCTTTCCCTCCATTTGACTTTCTACCAATTCGACACATTTTCGGTTGATTTCACAATATTCTAAAATGTGATTGTGTACTTGCTAAGAATCACCTCTGGGACAAATAATTTGTTTAAGCAAGATATTAGAGGTGCCCACATCTTCAGATGTTTGCTGTGTGGTGTAAGAGCAGCAGCAAGCAAATGGATCAGTAAAGTCTCATTCAGAAAAGGTTGAGTTGAAAGTACGGAAAGGAAGAGACTTCTCCTTCATGTCCTATTTGACATTATCTTCAGATGAAGGACAGCCTGAAGAAGAGAATCACTGGCTTCACATGAATGACAGTTTGAAGAAGAGATGGCCAGCTACGCACAAAGCCTCTCTATGCCAATGATTTTCTAGGATTCCCAATCATGTGGAGAGACTGCACATATCACAGAACTTATTCTCTTCAGAAAGTGCCTCTCCCTGTGGAGAAAAGGACCGTCAGAGAGCAGCCTGGAACAATCTCCCCGGTCACACTTTCAAAGTCTCTCTTTTTGAACATCTGAATAGGGCTTAAGGGATCATCTAAACCCAAATTAAAAATTAGATTTTTCTCTTCCATGCTGTTTATTAACATGACTGTGACTGGTTCTGTTACTGTTCCAGTCTATGTACACACAAATATAATTGATGAAACCCAAAATGTGTTTGATAAACACATATGCTTGGAAAATGTGCATGAAAAAATGTGTATACTTCAATCTTAAAACTCCCCCAAAATACACAAAGGAGAGGAAAAAACCAAACCAAATAGGTATCTCAAGGAGGAACAATGTTGGTTTCTGGGGAAACTGGAGAACCTCAACAACTTCTTGTTCTGCTCATTCACACACCCCTAATAAAAGGTTGTGTGCAAGTGGTTTATCTTTCAGCATGTTTATACCTTATGGAAAGAAGATACCTTACAAGGGCTAGGCATCAGCCATGTTGTTGTTTTTGAACACCTGCAGGAGACAAATTAGAGAGTTGGAAAGTTTTAAGCATAATAGCCAGACTGGCAGCCATGGTGGCAACAAGTAAATGCAGAGGAGCCTATGGAAAGCAAAGCGAATGATGGGTAAGCATAAACGTTTGCATACGACAACACATTTCATCATTTCTCTGTGATCTTCAAAGGCTTTTAGTATAATAAATGCATTAGCTTTGACCCTGCAAAAAACTCAGTCATCTCACCAACTGGTGAGACTTTACACTCTTTTACACAGATTCCAAAATTACACTGGGAATAAGTAATATATATTAGGTTTTTACACAGCTGAATCTCTTCTTGCATTCTAACAGAGAATGTTACACACACAAAAGAGGTCAATATTTCTTTGGCACTGATGAAAGTGTAGATTAAATAGACTTACATTGAGTTGTAGGTCATCTGTCCATTGGCCAATCAAATGGTAGCCTGGGGTGGTGGTGTTTGTTATTTGGTATTGAAATATGTCATAACGTCCTGGTGCATCACCATTCTTATTAAACATCACTGGAGTGCCAGCACTGCCTGAGGAAGGAAGTTAAGCAAAAGGAAAGAGAGAAGAAGGCCAACACTTTACAAGATTTGCTTTGTTAGTTCTATGGAGGTTGAAGAGTTTTTAGGCCAGAGTCTCAGATGGCAACCTCACATTACCACACCATTTGAATGGGCACTGATAATATCCCAGTCCTCTTGTCATTTTTTAATCAATTATCACAATCCCCACCATTCCTTCTAGCCAAAAATAAACTAAAAACCAGCCTTGTTTCTATCCTGAGTCATATACAGAGCAGAATATATTGGAGTGATCCATTCCATCACACAGTAGGGTTCCTCAGAGAAAATCAGTGCTATGAACGAAACTTCTAATTCATTATCCACTCCACCCTCAAAGCACATCCCATCTGCTTCAAAGGAACACTGCTATCAACATACAGCTTTTGTCTAGTAAATCTTGACTAGTATTCAGAAACAGCTTCTTCCTCCAAAATACATTCTTATTGTAGTAACTAATGTGCTCCTGAAATGAAAAAGCAACAAAGAAAACGGGAGGAAAGCTGTTCTTAATCTTTCCATCTGTCTATCTTCCCTTCAACCTTTGGATTCCAACATCTTTACAGAAAATACATATACACCAAACAATTGGGGTAAAAATCTGGGACTGTTCACTAATTGGTGTCTAGATAGAAGTGGATATCTGTTTAGCTGTCCTGTGCATTTGGACATCTAATCAATTGAGAGCTATCAAAATCACCCTAAATGGCTAAAAAGCTACAGATATAGAGGAAAAAATTGAATTACATCAAAAGGAAACAGTTGTTTTTTTCTTTAGTGGCACCATCAGTGGACAAGTGCAACATTTTCTGCTAGAACAGGGCTGACCTGACTAAGAGATACGAGGGGCTCCAGCTACATTTCTAAATATCTCCCCAGGGGTGTGAGAGGTTATTCACATTAGTTGATGAGAAACATCAAGAAATTTGAACCATCATAGAGCAAGGACGTTGGAGCATATGGCATCTCCCATCATCCCTCACTACTAGTTAGTTAGTTAGGCATCCTTCAGTCTCTAACTGTAATGATAAGGGTTGGTTTAGCAACATCCAGAAAGCTGCATCCTCCCCATCTCTAATCTACTCTGTGCTACAGTACGGCCTAAATACTGCTGTGTCATGACATTTTAGTTCTATCAGCTTGTTATCTAGATGTTTCATAGGATTGTCTGAGCCTGAAATGGTTACCAGTGGGGATTGTGCCATTACTACAGAACGTCTCCCATAATTTCTCTTTACTGCAAGTTAGAGAGGATTCAGAATAACTTCATAATGTGTTTTGTAATAGGCCTGTCAGAGACAAGACACAATATGATGCAAAATGATTGGAAGCACAGTAATTACTTCAGTAACTTATAGTGTATCTATAGGCACTGCGAGAACTATGACACTGCTCAAGGTAAGAAAGTTCTACTGATTTAGGGGGACAGCATAACAAGAAAGGCACACAATGGTTGATGACTGCAGGACTATATCCATCACTAATTTCATCTCAATGTTGATGTGTGCCATTCACGACTTGATGCAATGACATAGCTACACATTAGTAGGACCCTATAAATTTTACAGTCCATCTGCTTGATTGCAAACTGGGCTATCGATGCAGTTTCTCTATAACAGTGACGGCTGTGAGATGACTTCAGCAAAACTGACTGTGTCTTACAGACGGCTGCAAGGTGATATGGTTGCCTGAATGCTCTATCAAACCTATGTCAATATTTATCTTCCTCATTGTACACTCAAAATTGTAACTTGGCTGATCATAAAACTTCTTTACTCTAAACTAGTTTTAACATATATTCACTTTCTTGCCATTGATTTCAGATATTTATTTAAAACATTTTTAACCCACCTTTCTCCTTAAAAAGGAACCGGGGGGGGGGCTTACATAATAAAAAACACTATGTTAAAAGCTAAAAACAATAAATTATCCAAGTATTAAAGAACTAATAACATTATATTGAGAATGTTAGCTAAAGGCATCACTAAAAAACTGATTTAGAAGCAACAAAATATAAACCAATTTATTGTCTCCTAGACAGTCAGTCACTAAGGAAAAGCCTACCTGGTAAGACACCTTCATGAAGAATTTTAATACCTTATGGAATTTTTGAATGGGCCTTTTTCAATTATTGCTATGGCTGTTCTAAGTCACTTTATATAGTTCTGTTTGTCAGGGCATTGTAGAGATGGGAAAGCTCCAGAAAGAAGCAACCAAAATTATCAACAAGTTTGATTGTCCATTGGAATTGAGGAACAGTCATTCTAACAGAAGTAATCAAAAGGAAATGGATGCTTGTGGACTCACCGTTAAAGTTAATACTGCGGATGTATTTCAATAGTTTCTTGCCCCCTGCGTGCTCCATTTCTGGGCAGACACCAGAATAATCATTGCACAGATCCTTGTTCATTTGGTGGAGTGCGTGAGCCATGGCATAGACAGCATCAATCACAAACTGAACTCTCCCTTCCTGCTCATAATGGGAGTCCTTTCCAATTCTCTCCTGTCCTACACATTTAAGGAAACAGACATACACAAACAAACAAACAGAGAAGAAAGTTGCTGATGAAAAGAATTATTCCAATGCTAAAGGGACTTGCCCTAGTTTGAGGACAAGTAACACTTTGACACATTTCTGATCACACCAAATTATTTAGGACACTTGCAATAAAAGGAACAGCGATGAACCTTATCAACATGTTAAAGAGGATTCTCCTCTTTCCTGGTTTTAGTTCTTAACACATGAAACTCATGATAGTAAGTCAAATCATTTCAACTACAGAGACAAGATCACTGAGGAGCACTAACAAGACATTGTTTGGCATATGTGAGGATCTGGTTTCCAGTTCATTTTGATCAAAATTTACCAAATTCTTCAAAATTCAGATCTGATAGATTCACACATTTTTGGTGGTGATACATATAAGCTCAAAGTTAAAAGAGCCCCAAGAAGTGGTCTATTTGCTTCATTGCGCTGACTGACAATGAGCTTCTGATATTGTTTTCTTCTGTTTTGTTTTGAAATCTGGAGTGAACTTGAAGAAACCCTCTATGTACAGAACATATGCTTTACTACTAAGTTGTGAATATGACTGAAAAATTATCAGTCTTAATTTTGGTGTGTTGTTCCAATTCCATCTATATTCCCATCACATCCTTTCTTTACATCTAGCCGCAAGACCATGTTTCGAACATGCATTTTCCATGACATACACATTTATGTAGGAATATCTTTTCCCAAAGTATATGAATTGCCATGAGAATGTCATGAGAATGTCTGACGGTCAGATTCCAAAATATCTTCTGTATGGAGAATTAGTGCAGGGAAAGTGCCCCAGAGGGAGATGACAGCTGCAATACAAGGATATCTGCAAGCAGGATTTGAAGGCCTTAGGAATGGACCTCAACAGATGGGAAATTTTAACATCAGAACATTCAGCCTGGAGGCAGGCAGTGCAGCATGGCCTCTCCCAGTTTGAAGAGATACTTGTTCAGCAGGCTGAGGCAAAGAGGCAGTCCCGAAACCAGCCAAATCAGGGAGATGGACAGGGGACAGATTGTATTTGTCTTCAGTGTGGAAGGGATTGTCACTCTTGAGTTGGCCTTCTTAGTCACACCAGATGCTGTTCCAAGACCTCTATTCAGAGCATGTTACCACAGTCTCTCAAGACTGAAGATGCCTACATGTATTGCACACATTTCCTCAACTGAATGAAGAACACATGTGCATATACTTCAATTGCACTCATTTCTTTTTAAAACATACATATCATTTCTTTGGTATTTTATTTCTCTGACAATACCAGAAGACTCGCAAGCATGCAAATTACCAAGGAAGGGTGTGCTTCTGTTATAGCTATTCTTGGAAGGCATGAAAGGAACCATATCGGTGAGAATCTTTTCCCCTCATTTTTAAGAAAATGATTTATTACCAGGTAACTCATAATCTCACAATGCCAAATACAATATTCTAGAAGCGAAAACAATGCACAAGTGTGTGTGTGTGTGTGTGTGTGTGTGTGTGTATGATTTATGTTTCAATGATTAATAAACAGAATCATATTTTCTGTTAGATATCTGTTCTCCTTCATCTCATTTACAAAACGTCAGTTTACTTCAATATGTTACACTCCATACCCACTCATACCAATCTCAAATGGGGATTATTAGAAGATTCCCACATCTGAGCAAGAATTTTGTCCTCTTTAGGAGTTATACATCTTCGCAGACCTCAATAGGTGTTGGGCATATCAGGTTACATGGAAGCTCCATATTCCTTCCCCACACAGGTGTCTGTCAGATATTTGCATGTTTAACAGAAAGATCTACAGTACAGGCCAAAAGCATGTTCACACCAAACTTACAGTATATGATTGGGAACCATGAGAAGGCCAATCGTATGAGTGCTATAGCTTGCATTTAGATGAACACACTTAACACTCTCCACTACAGATCTCTGCATTCAATTAATGAAAGCCTAAGAGAATTCTACATGAGGTGGAAACCAAGGGGTTGAGGTTTCCATGGAGAGTCTTGTACTAATAACCTTTGAGCCCTACAAGGATTCAGGCTTATCACTTAAATGGGGCTGCTGTGTTGCAACAAGCAATATATAATTTCAAAGAGAATCTTGACACCACTGAAATCTTTTTCCATGCTTAACTATGGGGCCCTCCTTTTGCTCTCACTTTTGAAGATCAGTCTTTTCTCAACAGAAATCTCCCCCACAAAAACATAATCCTGGAATCCTAGAATAACGGAATTGGAAGGGGCTTACAAGGCCTTTGAGTCCAACCTTCAGCTCAAGATAGGAGTCTAAATATATCTGACAGATGGTTGTCTAATTTTCTCTTGAACACATCCAACACTTGAGTCCAACCTTCAGCTCAAGATAGGAGTCCAAATCTAAATATATCTGACAGATGGTTTATTTCTCTTGAACACATCCAACACTGAAGTATTCACTACCTCTAAAAGGTAACTGCTTCCATTGTCATAGAGCTGTAAAAATTAGGAATTTTTTCCCTAATATTCAAGCAGAATCTGGCATCCTACAACTTGAGGCCAGTTTACATGCTGTGCACTCTGGGATGATCAAGAACAGATCCTGCCCCTCCCGTGTATGACAACCTTTGTATGAAAAGTGCTATCATTTCTCTCCTCCACCTTCTTTTCTCAAGGTTAAACATGACCAATTCTTTCAGGCTTTCCTCACATTCTGTTAATGCTGTAAAAGCAATATAACATAGTATTTGCCTTTTCCACAGCTGCATCATATTGTTGCCTCATATTCAGTTTGTGATCTACAGCAATTCCAAGGTTTTTCTCACTCAGAATATCCCCCATCTTAATTTGTGTATTTTGGTGTAGTTTTTTCCCTTACATGTAGAACTCTGCACTTATCCCTATTAAATTTCATTCTGCTGTTTTCAGTCCAGTGCTCAAGTCTATCAAGTTGATTTAGAATTTTCTTTCTTCCTGGGCATTAGCTATTACGCCCAATCTTATGTCATCTGCAAATATGATAAGAATTCCTTCCACCCCTTTTAATTTATTCCTCCTAAATTCACAACATTTTCACTATGAACATTTTAGATCATTATAAAACTTCACTTAAGAAAAGAAAAGAAAAGAAAACCCTCCAAGAAACCCAAAATATTTTTTGGGGATGGGGACAACCTTTGTGTTTGAATGGGAAGGAAAAGCAAAGCACACTCTTAAAAGTCTGATGACACGCTCATTTTTCAAATCCCAAACTCTAATTCAAAGACCGACAGAAGAAGGAAGAGAGCAATTTTGAATGCAAAACAAAGACCACTCTGGAGAATGTGGTTAACCATCCTACTGCAACCTGGAGAAGCACAGTGTGTATGTAATTCAGGATGAATTTCTTTTGTTTTTCCCAGAAGAGGTAAAAGATCATCTGAATTCATAGAATGCCGCTGAAATGATGCATTAGCAATGCAGAAACTTTGCCCATTTCTTGCAAAACATCAGTGGTTCCCAAAATTTCTTCTGTTACCAATCCCCATGGAGAAAGAATCATTTCTTTGACACTTTGATGCATTGTTTTTTTAAATACAGGAATACGAAAACAAAAATGAAGCCGGTTGCAAGTTACTACACTTAGCAACATGATTTCAGTCATTGGGTATTGTACCTTTCTCCATCTCAGTTCCTTATCAGTAAAACAAGCAATCATATCTCTGATTATAAGGAGAGATCTAAAGACTGTAACATAGCTGATGTGCTTAGACATTAGTGGCATAGAGATCTCCTGTGACCTAATGCTAAGGTTTTGGAGCTGCATACAGGATTGAGAACATCAATATTTGCCAGGCAAAACTATAAATATTTTAAAAGGGTTAAATTATGAGCATACACTGGATTTAACACTTTTTTTTTTCATTTATAGGCTGATAGTGCATGGTAGGAAATTGGATCCATCTCTCTGTCAGGTCAGATAAGCTGACACTTGAGCACACAGACCTCCAGGGAAATATCAGAAGTGTTCGCAGTTTGTGTTCATAGTTTGATTGCGGGACACACTCACTCAACTGTGGCATGTTGTGGACTACATGCTTGCCACAGGAAATAGCTGAAACCACTGATGAGCAGATTCAGAGCAAACAGTGGCCAGGCCTTCCCTTTAACCTCTTTCTCCAAGTTGTTCCACTTTTTATTTCTATTTCCTCACTTTCTCTTCTAGAGTCTACTAGGTGAACAAGAGATTATTCTTACCAGAATCTAAACCAGGGACCCCCAACCTTCTGGGCCAGATGCCTAGACCATATCTTAAAACAAAATGTAACAAAATTATTAACCTGCCAATTTAGATCAAAAGGAAAAAAAATCAGATGTCAATGAAGAAATGTTAACCTGAACAGAATCCACTATGGAACCATAGTTTACTGTGGAATCTTTTTATCTAGCTTACCAAATGTTACCAAATGTGTGTGATTTTTGTGTCTGTTTTCTGTTAGCCAAGGCACTCATGTTCAAGTCAAGGTTTGTGACAGACAACCTTAAAATGTCATGTAGAACTTCATCTGGAAATCTTGGCATGTTGACATACATTAGGATTTCACAATTTTTGTCTTCGAAAAAGTTTGTTCACTGATGGGCATGGTGCCAAAGACTGTGAACATGCCTGCAGCAAATTTCTTTAGGTTGATAAATATATCAGGTAGACCATTAGAGAAATCTAACAGACTCTTTTCTTTGTAAATGTCTCAGACATGATTACTGGCTTGCAAATTAATTAGCTCCATCTGAAAAAAAAAGTTACTTGTATCTTCTGGTGCTACACCGGATGGATTCTGAAACATCCTTATTTACAGCAATCAGTGAATCTGGTCTGGAATTCCACCTGCAATAGGCTCAGCATTTTAATGTGTCTTTCAACATGAAATTGTAAATTCCTATCCTTCTCAGACTTTAGCTCATTGCAGCATGACAAGTTTGAAAAATTACTTTTACTAACTTGCTTCATAAAAATGCTTTGTTTT